TCCCCACTCTGTCTCTGGTGAAGCCTCTCGCCGCCCCTGAGCCTCTGGCCTGTACCCCAGTTCTGTATGCACAAATGAATAAATCTTTAAAAAAAAAAAAACAAAACTGTAATCTAGAAATTTAGTACTAAATCTGTTCAGTTATAATGATGTTCTTAAAAACTTCCATTTAAGCTTCAGTTAAGATGAAATTTGATAGCTGTAAGCAGTTTGCACCATATAAAGTTTTTTCTGTACCTTAAGAAGATGATTTTCATGTATTTATATTTTTTCATTTCTATGCTTTTGCATGTTTCCAATTATCTGCTGTTTTTAATAACCTCAACTAAAAATATGCACATAAAAAGTTTTAGAAATTTTTTAAGTTATTTTTTATATAAATATATTTTAAGGATTTAGAGGTGCAGGGGCTGTCAGAGGAGTTAGAGGAGTCAGAGTAGGGAGCAGAGACGGTCAGATCGACTGAAATACACTGCTGATGGGAGCAGCCGGCGAGACAGGAGAGGTCTGTACGCCTTGTGGGTCACCTCCCTGGCTGGGCATCGAACTTGAACTACAGTGTTACTATAGTGGCTGCAGACAGCTTCACAGTGCTGCGCTTCAGCCCACTGTGCCACCAGGGAGGGCCCTCTTCTCTGTATTTTTCACATCATTTTTCACTTTTGTACAATGTGTGCTTTTCATCTCAGGTGTGGTCCCCATGCAGTTTCCACCACCAGTTTACACATACTAAGTTTTAATGTTACTTTCAAATGGAACCAAAAATTATGAAGTTTTATTATACTTTGCCTGCTGACAACTTGTTTCCCAAAATAATGCCATTTGTCAATGTTACCAGTTTGTTTTAATTTATATTTTAAGAATTAGTGAATCTGAAAACTTGATCCTCTATTGAGGTACTTATTTTCTGTCCTTTGAACAATTTTGCAAGTGATTATGTTGACTTTTTCTTGGCTTTATTTTGTTACACAAACATTTGCCCAAGTCTCTGCATTAAAAAAAATGTTAAGTATTAATATCTTTGAGTCTCATAGGGTTTTCTGTGGTATTTTGTGAGAGATATGAATGTAAAGTGAATTTTCTCCGTGTTATTGTCCCTAAATATTTAGTAAATAGTTGCAGCTTGCAAACAGTATTGCTACTGTTTGTCCAATACCACTTTAAAGTGTTCCTCCATAAGAAATTACATTCTACAATGATTAGATAATAATACTGTAGATATTATCTGGAAAAACTTACAGGATGCTGCCACATTAGTGTGAATGCTTGAATTCTGTAGTGGAAAATGAAAATAGTTAACTGAGTCTGGAAAAATAAGCAAAGGAAAGCAATAATAATAATACTAAATAAAATAATAGTGAAGGAATTAGAGATTAATAAATGCAACCTTTGAGTCTGAAAAGATGAATATGTGATTTTAGGAATGAGAAATGGCATTAAATAAAGATAACAAAAGTGTTTCAATGTTAAGTTACATATAAAATTTTTTGCTAATGAATTTGAGAAATTTCTAGGAAGTAAATGCTCTGTACAAAGAGATAAATTAAGAAGTTTAACTTAAAAGATGAATAACCATTCAAAAATTGAAGTTTGTTGATGAACTAGTCTCAAAAACAAAAATAAGAAACAAGAAGTGCTGTTCCCAGTCATGTTTAATGGGTTAGCTCTTTTAAACTCCCAAGAGCAGATGATACCTTTCCCATTTAAACTGTTCTAGAGCATAGCAAAAAAAAAAAAAAAAAAAAAACAATGTCAGTTCTTTCGGTGCCAGAATAACTGATGAAACACAAAATAAGCTCACAAAGACTGAAAAGATCAAAGAATATTTAAAGACTACTTTAAAGGTTAATTTCAAGAGTGCAAGGTATATTCATAACAGAAAATCCAAAAAGAACAGAACCAGACCAAAAACAGTGATGGCGTTTACCTTTAAATGATGAGGGGATATTGTCTTACACTTTTTGTGTTTATATGTATTTATAATTCCTAAACTTTTACAAGAATTGCAAAAAAATGATACTGATCATTTGCTCATTCTCACCTTCACTGATGCATTGAAATCTGGTAGGTGAGTTACCCTCATTATCACCTCACTTTCTACTTCCAGCTGTTCATTGCACTATTCTTTGATTATTTTTTCCATAGAAGTATTCTATTTCTCTATATAGTATTTTGTAGAAATTTAATTAGTATTCTTTAGATATTTTAAATTAAAATATAGGTGATTATCATGATCTATATATTCAACCAGGAAGTGACTGAGTCAAATTATTTTTTACCTCTCCCCAGAGGGTTTTATCCTTTTTTTCTTTACTATGTCTCCTAAATACCCACTTTATTATAATTTTTTAATTATTTCATGATTTCTGTTGCTTTTATTAGTAGATCTCTTTTAATATAATTCCTAGCATTATGTGATTGACTTCTTACTTTATTAGGGATGTGATTTTTTTAGATGACCTGTAATGTATTTCATGCTTTAAATGCAGCATATTTAGCATATTTCTTAGCTGTACTGAGCATTTTAAACCATAATTAATAGAAATTACATATTTTGTTTTTCTTAGAGTAATAGTAGTAGCAAGAGTGAAGATGTCTTTTGTGACCCTGGAGATGAATGGGAACCTGACATTACAAATATACCAGTTTCTTCATTTTCTAGAAGGAGGTAAAAACATGGAAGTTATTGGTTTTCTTGTTCTTGGTATACATATATATCATTTCCTTATTTTAAAAGAACTGTCTGTTGTCATGATGGATATGTCGATGAAGGAAACCCAGTAATATAAGAGAAATAGTATGTTACTGTTCAAATTACAGCACTTAGAGCATTAAATTGTTTGTCAGTCAGTTAGAATAGGAACAAATATTATTCAGTGTTTCACCATTTAAGTCTTAAGAGAAACTTAGAGGAGGATAAATCTTATTTCCTATAAACATGAACAGTGTTTATAACTTTTAAATTACCCTTTCTCAAGAACTTGGCATAGTCTATGGTATTTTATTGTAAGTTATAGAATTTTAAATGCAGGCAAGTTAGTATGAGCACCACAGGAGGATAAATCATGATGACAGAGAACTTCTATATATGACAAATGTTGCTTATTAACTACAAACATAAAAGACTTTCACAATGAATAGATGCTTTTCAAGGAAATACTAGTTCTGCTTAGACCTCTGATGCTTCGATTATAGAAAGGCAAAAAGGCATAACAGAAAGGCCTTAGTCTTGAAACAATTTAGCTTCTCAGTTTGGATTTTAAACACTTCTTTGTAAATAAATATTTATTAGTTTGGTTTTTAAACAAGACTACTGTCTGCCACATCCGAAGAATACAAAGATGAATAAAAAATCAACCCCTGTCCTCAATGACCAGGAACTAAGGAAACTAGATGCAGTTGATAAAGACCTGAATTAAGATCAGGTCAAGGACTGGGGAGCAGAGTCAGGTTTTATATACAACCAAGAGGCAGAACCAACAGGACGAGGCCACTGGTGTAGGGTTGTGGATCATGAGAGGTGAAGGATGAATCTTGGCTTTCATTTGTTCAACTGATGAGGAAAGTAGAGGGTAAGATGAGTTTAATTTGAATATGATGAGTTTGAGGTTGACAGAAGACATCCAGATATAGAACTTTGATGGAGGGACTTGGGAATCTTTCAGATGTGAAGGTCCATGGCATAGCATTATCATTCTCTAGAACATTTATGGATGCTTGTAGGCTTTATCTCATTTAGTACTTATCACAAAATGCTAGTACCCCCATTTTACAGATGAGGAAACTGGGGATTTGAAGAGGTTAAGTAACTTGGCACAAAGTCACAAAACTAATAAGGGAAGAGCTGGCATTCAGAATCTACTCCAAAAATATCAGGCCTTGATATTTTTGATTGCTAAACCCTAGGCCACTGTTGCATGAGAGAGGATGGTAACTTTTTCTGGTGAAATGGTTGTTTTAGACATCATTGCCTTTGACTGCAGCTCATAATCCTTTTGGATTTCCAAACCTTTGGGGGCCTCTTATTTTTGATGATGCTTATTTTAAACTCATTTATAAAATCTCTGAGAAATGAGACAATTTTATGGTGACACTTTCCCATTACTTCTGTTTTAATTGTTTTCTGCTATGCTACTGTAGAAAATAGCCCAGGCATAAGATCTGGACATTTATGTTATGGGCACATAATAGCTATATACTTCAAGGTGAAAGAAATACAAAGCATGTCGTTTAAATGGATTGAGATCCTTGCATATGGGCACCCTGTAGCTCCTACAATTGTAGCATGATAAAAAATGTCACATTCGGGCCCTCCCTGGTGGCGCAGCGGGTTAAAGCACAGCACTGAGAATCTAAAGCCGCTTCCGCATGAGTTCAATTCCCGCCTGCCCCGGAGGTGACCACATGGCGCAGCAGACCTCTCCTGACCCGCCTGCTGCTCCCCTCAGCTCCCCTCAGCAGTGTACTTCGTCCATCTGCCTGTTCTGCTCCCCACTTTGACTCTGGTGAAGCCTCTCGCCGCCCCTGAGCTTCTGGACTGTACCCCAGTTCTGTATGCACAAATAAATAAATCTTTAAAAAAAAAAGTCACATTCAGGACATCAGAGTCCTGAATTCTAACCTGTACTCTTTATGACCACGGGCAGGAACATTACATCTGTAAAATGGACACAGTAGTATATATCCACTCTGCAGGGCTCATGGCTAACTTAAGTGAGATCACATAGAAAAGGCAGCTGTTTCTGCTGCTATTCCATGGCCAGCATGAGCCTGAGGATACCACGCTGCTTGTTTGTGATGAGGACAGAGATAAACCCTACTACAGTGATGGCTGTTCAGTAAATGACAATCCTTATTTTTATTGGACTGTTAATAGATGACTACATGTTGATAATAATATATACTGACTAAAATTAAGAGGATATTTATAATTTTTGAACTAATACAATACACAGATAATGATATCTTCAGGTGATTTGTCTTGAGAACTGCAAAGTCTGCTGGTCTCTGGCACTCCAGTAAGCTAAATATGGCCCATGGGACTCCCCAAAATTCAAACCAGAAAGAACTACAGATTAATTCAAAGAGAAATCTCTTTGGATTTGAAAATGAATGTTTGCTTCTTACTTTATATTATAAACAAATGTAAACTTTGTGTACTTAGAATTATGGAATATAGTATGAGTATGAATAATTAATTAAACATTCAAAATTTAGCCTACTTAAAGTTGATGATCTACACCTTATTTCTCATTAACTTGTAGGGCAATGGTGAATCAACAGAAATTCAAATTATTACTGAAAAATCAAGCTTTATTATTTTCTGAGATTTTAAAATTAGGTATTTTCATTTGGCAGAGATTATTCTGAGAATTTCTATAATTGAAAAGTATAATTTTTTCAGAAAATGAATTGTTCTTGGCTTGAGACCTTGTATATGAAGTTTCAGCCTTGTAAGAATGTTTATGACAGAATTGCAAACTATGAATGGTTGTAGGTAACGGAAACACTGACAGATCCTTAATTATGAACTGCGAATGAGCAAAGATCTGCTGCCATTGTCCTGCAATAAAACAGACTGGGTTGGCCGCCTGTAAATTTCAATATGTACTGTTAACAGTTAAAAGTAAAATTTCCCCCAAAGTTAAGTAAAAATTCTTCAAAAGGAATGTGGCAACTTTCTTCTTTATTTCAGTTTATACATTGTTTATCTAGCATAGGGTGGAAAAACTAAATTTTCCTAGTTTAGACTTACAGTGACAGTGTGCCCTGTCCTTTTACTCCAAATACAGAAAACTTGTCACCAATGAGAACTGATATTTTCTCCCCCTATAACCAGTCATATTTCTGTGTTTTTCTTGTAGGAATTCATGGGGAAATTTGGACTATTACAGATAGAATGCTTTCTTTTAACCATCCTTTCAGCAAATGGTTTCTGTAAAAAGCCAGCAGGAACAGACAGTTCTCTTAGGAAGTGTGTCCCTTGGATTTTGCTCCAGGTCACAGCTCAAGTAGTTAAGGGGGTCTTGAGTTGGAGTTGCTAGAAAATTAATAGATGAATGAGAGTAGGGAAATATCTCCTGGTTTTCACAGAAGCAGTTGGAGAGAAAAATAACAGCTAGCCAGCCAGTCATACTCAAGGGAAAGGTTTGAGTATGTTAATGGGCTGAAGGAAAAGCAAAGAGTGGTTGGAGAGAGAATTTCATCCACTGTGCTCTGCTATGATTCTGTTTTTTCACTGTGTAGAAATGTTTACTCAGAGGCTTGTTTACCTAGGTCCCTGCTTAAAATCCTTCCCAGGGCAAAATCCAAGCTTCCTTCATTGGTGACCACTGTGAGCCTCCAGTTAATCCTGGCACACCTGCCTCAGGCCTTACCTAGCTCCTGGCCCGGCAGGGCTCTTCTTTGCTCTCAGTGCTTTCTTTCATCATGGTTTCCGGCTTCTTCCCCACTTGCCTGGCGACCCCTGTTCTTCAGGGTCGCTGTGCTTGGGAGCCCTCTGCCGCCTTTGGCCAGGCCAAGTTCTTCACCTAAGTCACCACAGCTCTCCATGTGCTCTTAAGGTTACCACGTTATTGTAATTATTTCCTTAATTTCTCTCCTTACTTGTGGCCCTTAAGCCAGCACGCCCACACACAGTCATTGACATGCACACTTCCCGCATTTATTAACTGTGCAATACCTGTAACAATTCCTTGTAAATTCTTGCTCACCTGGCCAAGTGGATTTAACCAACTCTTGATAAAAATGTTTCTTTAAAACACATTTGCAATATCTTTCTTTCCTAGAAAACTGGAAAATATAGTATATAGTAATTACTTATCTTACGGATTTACCTTTTTTAGGAGCAGGAGTTTGATGAAAAACAGAAGAATTTCTGGTTGTTTACAAGACATACAAGTCCACCCAATACAAAAATTGCATTCTTCACATTCATCAGGTAATTTTTTTTTATCAGATTTCTCATTATTGAGAAAAGTATCAGGTGCTGGCCCTACCATCACCTTGTTTCATGTTCTTGTACAAATTGTTTTATTTCTACAAGCTTCCGGGGTTTTTTTTGCTAAATGAGGGGAGTAGACTGGGTAGCTGCTTCTACTCCCTTCACTTCCCCTTCCACTCATTTGGACTGTGCCATTTATTTCAAACCCTTTTAGTAGAGAGGCTAATTCAAATATGGAAGACATGGGAATGTGTCCAGCAGTGGGTTTCAGAATATTATTTTCTTGTTTTTGTTTTTGTTTTTTAAGATTTATTTAGTTATGCATACAGAACTGGGGTGTAGGTCAGAGATGCAGGGGTGATGAGCGGATTCACCAGAGACAATGAGGTGCAGAACAGGCCAACTGACAAAGTACACTGTAGGGGCTTGTGTCAGGAGAGGTCTGCCGCGCCAGGTAGATCACCTCCGGGGCTGGGGGGGTTGGCACTGAAATGATTGTGGCCAGCTTGCAGTGCTGCGCTTTAACCCATTGCACCATTAGGGAAGGCCTGGAATATTATTTTCTTAAGTAAAAAAAAGCAAAGTGGTGAAGTTTATGTATAATATCCTACCATTTCTGTAAAGGAGAGAAGAAAAGAAAATACAGACATAGATGTTTATAAAAGAATAAGAAATTTCTGGAGAAACTAGCCCATCAGTTTTAGGAACATTCCCATTTGCTAGAGTGGTGTTAGTGTGGAAAGAGCCAGAAAACTCATCTTGTGTATTAACTAAGACTCATTATATTCGCGTTAGCATTCTAGGATAAAGTTATTTCTAGAGGTCCTAAACAAAGTTCTTTGAAGCTTTCCCACTAACTTCTGGTTTGGATAGCACTTAGAAAACTCTGCTGAGTCTGTCTCCCAGAGAGTGATACATTAACTGTCCACAGTCACTGATCTTTCTCTGTTTTGGTCATCATCTACCCAGAGAAGGAACTGCTTTAGGGGTACTGAGATGTTTCTTCTATCATTTCCTACTTTTCCAGTTTGTGAATGTATTAAACTTGTATTTACTGTATTCATGTTAATTGATGTACCTGCCATTATTTTTACCAGTGCACAGTTCCTTAGGTGTTACCAAAAAGTAAAGAAGGAGATTAAGGCAGTGGTGACAAGGGATATTTTGATTTATTTTGTTTTTAATTTTATTTATATATTTTTACGTCATTGTTCATTTTTGTACAGTGTTTGATTTCTCCTCTCAGGTGTTGTCCCCCTGAAATTACTACCACCAAGACACCTCTGAACCATCACCACAGACTCTTGTGTTCTTCTGCCTTGCTGCCCCTCCCCTGCTGAATGACTCCGATTTATAGTTTACCTGCTGGCTTTGTTTGTTTTTTCCACATGGAGTATTTGGATTCTCTGTCATCTGTAGTGCAGTTGAGCAGCTGTTGTTGAGAGGTTAATTGATTCCTTTATGGAATAGATCTCTCTTTGGTATATGGGCATCAGGATGTCTTAAACTGAGGACAAATCTACTTCTAATTTATAGAACAGTGATTGCTTATATTAATACATTTTTAAAAAAATATTATGCCTGGCCCTCCCTGGTGGTGCAGCGGTTTAAAGCACAGCACTGAGAAGCTAAAGCCACTTCCGCATGAGTTCGATTCCCGCCTGCCCGGAGGGGACCACATGGCGTGGCAGACCTCTCCTGACCTGCCTGCTGCTCCCCTCAACAGTGTACTTCATCGATCTGCCTGTTCTGCTCCCCACTCTGTCTCTGGTGAAGCCTCTCTCCGCCCCTGAGCCTCTGGCCTGTACCCCAGCTCTGTATGCACAAATAAATAAATCTAAAAAAAATAAATATTATGCCTGAAGAAAAGGTTTAAATGGCTGTTTTCTATCTATGTAGGTTTAATGGAAAAATCAAGCACCATTTACTCAAATTCAGCAGAATCATTTCTTCCTGGAATTTGCAAAGAATTGATTTGTTCATCATTAGATTTTCTTGGACAGAGTCATGATGAAGAAAAAACACTGGCAGACAGCCTGATTACTAATTTTCTTAAAATTTATAATGGACTATTTTGCATTTCCAAAGCTTATGAGGAACAAGATGAAGAAAGTCAAGAGAACTGTAAGCAGCCTCATTGCTTTTATTAACTCACGTGCATGATGATTTTCTGCATGTTGCTTTTTGTTTTGAATGACTTGTTCCATGTGACATGCATTTTCTGACCAGGTTTACATGTTTTAATGGTAATCAAGCATGAGTTCTTTGATTTGGAGATTATTTCTTCCAATAATTTTCCTTCTTTCAAAGTGCTCTCATCTGATCGAGCAAGCCAGTCGCTCATTCTCCAGGTCACGTGTGCTTTTTGGCACCTTGCGGTGCTACTCAAGCACTGGCTGAGTGACATCCCACCTTCGACCAGCACCGCAAGACTCGGGGATGAATTGAGACAGGAAGTCACAAAACTAGGAAGCTACTTTCAGTTATTTTTGCAGGTAAGGTGGTTTGCTGATCATTATTGGCAAGATTCATGTATTCACTAAACATTTATTGGCTTTCTACTGCCTACATCTTCCCCAAAATTACATATGTAGGATTTTCATAATTGATTTCATAATTCTGAGACTGAAGTTGTAGACAATTGATTCATTGAGTCAAGACCTTTCCTGGCTTTCTGTGTGCCAGGTATTGGAAGATCATTTACAAATGATCATTAGGTCATTTACAAATGCTATCTCATTTAACTTTTATCACAGCCCCAGACAACAGTGGGTACTGTCACGATCACCATTTGATGGGCAAGGAATTGGAGGTACAGGGAGGATATGCAGTATAGCCTTAGTGATAGAGCTGGGACTGTATCCAGGCATCCTGGGCCCAGTGTTCCCATCATGCCATGCTGACCTGAGTGAGGGCTGCTGAGAAGACAGGCAGTGTTTCTGGTTATGCACTGGGTTGCAACTTGTGCTGACTTAGAGACAAGGAAAGTTGTTGTTTTTTTTTTTTTTTTTTTTTCTATTAACCTGTGTCAGGTAAGATTAGACTTGACTGTGAGGAAGAAGCAAAACAAATGCTTGTTCTCTGTCACAGAAGATCTGGTGACTGCTCCACAAAGTCCCTGGGATTCATACTCCTGCCAGGGCCTCTGTCTTCTGTACCTAAAGCACGAGCCTTTGCTTCACAGCTGTCCATGGTGGGGAGCTCGTCTGAGTTCAGTGCAGGATAAAGAATGTGACAAAGAAGTAAAGGGCCAAATGTGTCTTCTTTTAAGGGAAGTTTCTGGAAATTGCATTATGACATTTCCATGTATGTGTCTTTAGCCAGTACTTCATCATACAACCACACCTAGCCACAAATAGGACTAGGACATGTATTTTTTATTCTGGGGAGCCATATGCCAAATGAAAAGTCAGGAATTCTGTTACTATAGAAGAAGTGGGGAATTGATGTTGGAGGATAGCAAGTTGTTTGCCATGTTGGTTGACTCCTCTGATAAGGCTTCCTTGAATGTATGAGGAACAGTTATGGAAATGCCAAGAGGAGAAATAGGTTTCACTTTAACAAATGGATACTTAGACTGCCTAACACATGTTCTAGAATATTTGGACAGCTCTGTCTTATAGTGCCCACCAAGAGAATCCCATATTCTGTCACTGAGTAGAAGTTTAGTTGTATCAGATGCTTCCTGAGTAGGCTATTTTCTTGCTGCGATTTGGATATCTAGATCTTTTTGACTAATGCAGTTAGTCAAACTGAAATCATTTATTTATTTTTAAATGTCCATTACTCTTTTTTGGGAGGTCTTTCTGGTTTCCCTAAGACTTGGGTACGTCTTTGTTCTGTTTCTTCTCTGATAGCCCTGTACTTTACCCGTTATGCCTATTAATACACCATATGATTATCTGTAGACCTCTCCATGTTGGTGAACAGTCAGTGTTGGCCAGGTAGGGGGAATGCAGGTGTCTTCTTTTACAAGGACTCATGATATGGTAGCTGCTTGTTATTGATTGAATATTCACTCTGGATGATGTATCTCTTGAGACACTGATAGTGAGAGTATTGAGTAGACTGCATGCCTGTGTGGGTGCAGTAACAGATGAAGGATTAGCACTAATAGCACAGAGCCATGAAATTGCAGGGTGGGGATGGAGAGGAAATGGCCAGAGTACAGCTAGGGACCCAGAACCTGAGGGTCTGACTTAGGCTCCAACCTAGAAAAGGAAGCTCCTTTGAAGAGTGTTCGATGGTAGAAACCAGACTGGGATCTATGTGGGTGGTCACCGGTTTTAGAGGTCTCATAGGAACAATCGAATGTGCAAAACCCACTATCAGCTTTTGGAAATCTAGTATTTGACCTCTGCTAAATTGGTTATATATCCTTAGACAAACTGCTTAACCACTGGAGTCTTGTTTTCTTACTTGGAAAATTAAAATAACCAGGTTTGGCTGGCAGGGTTGCTGTGAAGATCAGGAGGCCCTAATGTCCTAAGAAAGCACCCTTTCCAGGAACCACCATGTAGTTTCTCTATTGTGTTTCATCCTTTAGGAAGGGCACTTTGAACTCAGAGGTTACTGCCTTTGCTGGGTGAGACATGTTTTATAGATACTACAGAGGATGGAGTGAACAGGTCACTAGGAGGGCAAGTCAGACAGCTTGCATGAAGCTGGCAAAACTGGACTTGGGGACTACACTTTCTGCTTGAGTATGTTTTATGACTCCTTCCCTGGTAGCAGTACATTCGCATGCTGCAGGAAGCAGGCCACGAGAAGTATTCTGGAGCCTCTAAGTGGGCAGGCCGTGGAGAAAAGCTCAGGCACTGCCACTCGGCGCACGTCCCTGGTGCAGCCTTTGTTGGGAGGGATTGCCACTTCTCTTCCCACTCCCCTTCCTTCCTCTCTCCTTTTATTTCTCCTCTGATAAAAAAAGATGTCTTTAAGAGTGCAGAAAGCTGAATTACACATTGCATCTTCAGCAGTCAGAGCGTGACTCCCTTTTAGCTTCTATTCCATAGTCCTTTTTAAACAAAGCTAAAGGCATTCCCCATGCCCAAAAGCAGGGGGTGCCCTTGTTGCTACAGAGGGTGCTGCCTCCTTTAGAAAAGTCCTCTCTTGGGTCCAGCATACTAGCTTCTGGACTTACCCTGCCAGCCCTGCACCAGCTTCTCAGAATGTGCTGTGCTTGGTCTCCAGGTGTGTTTTCAGGTTTTTATTTTGGTCTAGTCATTGCCTGTATTTATCAATCTGTTCCAAGTTTATATCATAAACATATTAAAGAGGAAAATGTCTTAGATGTTTGTTTATATCATTTCTTGAGCTACAAAGTGAGAAAAGTATCCCTATTTCTGAGGGGAAGATAGTGTTTTTCTTTAGGGAGAAACAGAGTGTTTATATTTTGGAACCTTTCTGAAGGTGTGAAATTGTGATGTTTTTATCTATAAGTGAATGTTAACTAGTTGTTTTCAAATACATAATAAAACGATCCTTTCTCTAGACAAGAGAGTCAAACATAACCTTCTGTCAGGGGCCGGTTGAGCAGGAAAAGCTTAAAAGCAGAAGAGCCACCGTTTGGCCCTCCTGGTGTTCCCGTGTCCTTTCTGCCTGCTCATGTAAGGTGTCTGAGGGTCGGACTCTGAGGCTCCCTCTGCCACAGCCTCACCATCTTTAGCTATAAAATTGCATTTTCTCTGGTTCAGACAGAGGCCTAAGAGGTTTCATCACGGTGACAATGAAGGGACCTGGGCTTTCTGCAGCTGGCTGTTAGTCCTTTCTTTACCTCTCTTGATGACCTCAGATACTGCGCCTTTTTTATCTTACAGGGATGCTGTTCAGAGATCCCATCAATGGTAAAGGAGGCTCAAACGAAAGTTGCCCAGATTGTACGACAGGCTGTGAGATGCGTGGGGCAGCTGGCAGCCCTTACGGGGAGCAGGCTGTGCGCCCCGGGCAGCAGTGACAGGGCTGCTGGTGTCCAGGTAATTTAGCAACATGAGTTTTGAAAGCTTCTGCTAAGAGTATCACTATTTTAAAAAGCGCAGTCTTTTCATAGTTTAAAACTAAGATTTAAAACTGTTTGCTCTAAATGTGGAACATACTGGGTAATTTTGGAGCCTTCATATTGGATTTTTAGTTCGACAACAGCCATCTACTATGAAGCGTTTACTCAGCCAGGGAACACAACGCAGAGCTGAGGAATCACAGAAAACTGACCACGGCCTTAATTCACACCATTGAAAACATAATATTAGAATGTTACTATGTCCTAGCAACGCAGTTTCCCGCTTAAACTCACAGACATTGTCTACCACGTTACATGTTTAATGCTAAAGAACAGATTTGCTTATTTTCTTTCTTTGTAGACTTATTTCTTATTCCAGCTTTAATTGAATTGAATAAGCTTCAGATGTATTAGTCCTAAAATAAGCAGAAGACATAATAATTTGATATTTTTTAATATAAAATCTAATTCTACCCCTTAATGTTTAAAAACATTCTCTAGGAGGATTTCATGGATGCTTTTGATGACGGTGTAGACTTAGGAATGAAGATTCTATTAGATTCTATAATAGAAAAAGCCAAAGAACTTCAGCATGAACTTTTAAATCAGTGTATCCAAAGTGAGGTAAGAGAAATAAAAGGATGTTTTACCTGGCACCATGTAACATACAAAGCTGATTTTGAGCAGCAGTTTAACTCACAGAATTAGATGTTTATAATATTTATATTTTGCTTTGTGTTGAATTTTTCTTATTGAGAGACTGCTATTGTGTTATTGTGATATTTCCCCAAGTTACTCTTATTAAAATGTCCATTGTAGTTCTTTGCTAGTTGCTGGCCAGAGTGGAGAGAGGCAGTGACATCTAGTGTTCATTATCTGTCTCTTTCTACCTCATCTTTGTTTAGGTCAGTCCTGTTCCACTTCAGAATGGGAATGACCAATTTATTGACTTAGTATCTTGAAATTAATATTTTGCCTGGGACATTCGCTTAAGTTACTTTTCATAGTGAAAAGTGTATATATCAGTGAAGATATAGAACCAGTGACATGAGTCCTTAGGCCTAAAGTCAGCCTCTGCTCCACCTCTTCCAGCTAATGGACACTGAAGGCCAAAGCCAATGCAGTCCTAGAGGTGGTGCGGGAGGACAGGCTGGGTTTTGACAGTAGAAAATGTGCATGACACCTGTAACTTTCGGCCATTATGGTAGGAGTCCCTGAGCGCTCTGGGTCTGTTTCTTCATCTGTCAGATGTAGTAATACCTGTGTCACAGGTTGGCAGCTCCTTGTTTCTTAAACAGTCTGGTGGAATTACTGACTCGGTGCTTTCCACAAGGTGGTAGTGAGCCTCCCGCAAGAAGCAATTGCTGTCATGCAGGGAGTTTCACTAGCTGCAGCCCCAGCCCCAGTATAAAGCCCCGTTGCCCTGAACCAGGGTTTTATACGCTATCTGCCTGGCTTCAGAACTCAGCGTGCTCTGTAACTGAGATCATAAATCGTTGTTCATGCCATGAACAGCAAACTTATAGGAATTAGTAGTGGCAGAAAAGCTTGGACTTTTAGAATGTTACATCTTTTTAAATGTAATAAAATTGTGTGCTTAAAAATACTCATAGGCACCTACAGAAGAAAAACAGAATATCAGAAGACATAAAAAATAGGCTCAAAATAAGGCACTGGGATTCCAATTTTAAAACTATTTAAATAAGTAGCTTTATAAATATAAATAAATAAATAAAACACTGGGGGAAGTGGGGTTTGGAGGTAGGATAAGGAATTTGAGTGTTCTTTGTTGTACCCCATAGTGGAAATTTGACTTGACCTAGGGAAAAACTGCCTGGATGAAGCTGATTAAATACTTAAAAAGAACCTCCTGGAAAAATATTGAGAGAAAAACACTGTAGGGGGCAGCATTGAGCAGCGTGAAAGCAAAGGCTGAGAGTTTAGCTTGGGAGTCTGGGGAGCTGGGACCCCAGGTCTGTTTCCTTATCTGAAAAGTGAATAAGCTGTAATTGAGAATCAAATAATAGGCCAGCCGTAAGTGAAACCAGTCAGTTAGAGAAAGGTGAATACTGTCTGATCTCGTTCATATGTGGAATCTAAAACACCCCAGGACTCAGAAACAGAATAGCTTGATGGTTGAGAAGGGGAAGGAGAAGGAATGGGTGAAGCGCTCAAAGGTGCAGACTTCCAGGTATAAGGTGAGTAAGCCCTGGGGTGTAATGTATAAGTTGGTGGCCAACATTTACCTGCAGTATTACACATCTGAAAGCTGCTGAGATGCTGCATCTTCTCATCACCAGGGGAAAAATATTCTGTGAGGTGGTGGATGTTAATGTACTGTGATCATGTCATATGTCAAATTATGTTGCCTATTGAACTGATACAATGTGATAATGTCAGTTATATCTCAAAACAGGAAAAGCTGCAGATGTAAAGTTCTCAGGGCATAATTTTGCTTGGTATATTAATTACCCCAACACTTCCAAGGGAAGTTTTGAAAATATTATTCCTACAAGTAACATAAATATAAGATAATGCTAGCATAACAGACTTCAAAGAGTATATTTCATGTAGAAATCAACTTGCAATTTATTTTGGAAGAAATTCCACTTACATGAGCGAACTAATTTCTACTCATTTAGCTACAATTGCTAGTAAATTGCTATCCCAGAAATAGAATTTGAGTCTTCTGACTTCCAGACGACAATCTTTTAACCTGTCTGCTCCCATACACTGCTAGGAGTTTTATACTGCTAAATCATGATTTGTTTAATAAAATATCTTAACATCCTCTGTAGGTTACCACACAAATGAAAGCTCATGCTGTAGGGTTGGCCCGGTCTCTGGAAAACCTCTTTGCTGAGTGGAAAACAGTGAGTTTTAAATTGTTTTTATGTCTGATTTTGTTTGTGTTTTGCCATCTCATATGATTTGTGTAGATAATGTCATTTCAGTTTTATCCTTAGCCAGATAATTACTTAGTGCACATTTTACTGAAATATTTAAAATAACTCTGCAGGTACTTCCTGTTAGATGCTATGACTTGCTAGTTTTAGTAATGGTTAAGATATTATATAAATGTTGATTATACTAAAGTATTTTATGTGTTTCTTGTTTCTTACTGTCTGCTTTTGCTGGACTAGTCATTATAGGCTAAAAAAATTGTGTTTAATAATTAATCTGCTCAAAGATTTTAAAATTGAAAAGTATAAACTACATGTATAGAATCATTGAATTAAAGAGGAGAGAAATTTCTATGGCCTAAAATTTTATTTTAAAAAGTGGAGAATATAAAGGTGAACTCTTTAATTAACCTTTGATATTGGATAGTAAATGGTAGGGTTGTTTTGTTTCATTCTCCTGTAGAAGGTGGGCTGAACTTTGGTTTTAAATTAATGAAAATTCTCTCATTTATTTGAAAACTGTAAATTGACGTTATTGTAGTTTGGTTTTGTTTGTAAAAATAGTTATGTCCTGATGAGAAATTAAACTCATTCTCTTTCTTAAAGATAAAATTCTGGTAATTAAAATCATATTGACTAAGATTTACTGCCAACTATCCTATTATTTTTTTTAATGTTAACTTTATTTATACAGAAAAGTTTCAAAACTCAAGTACAAGAAGAAAATCCTGCATACCATGATTTGAAGATCACCAATCTTGCCCCAAAATTCTTGAAGTTAAAACATTGCTTAGAGCAAGCTATTCAAGTTGTTATTTCTACACTGAAAGGTACACTTAAAATGAAATTTGTAATTAATCAGATTGAATTTCATGATTTAAGGACTTTCACATCTTTTTGTGTCATTTCATTAACTAACCTAATTAAAGTTGCTTCATTGACATTATTGCCAAAATGGAAGCTGTGTCATTGAATTCCCACTTAATATATATAAGTACTTCTGCCTAAATAATTAGACTTAAGAAATCAGGTGCTACCAGATCTTAAGCAGTTTAGAATTGTCTTGATAAGGTCAAATTAACCTAAAAGATACCTGGAGTCATACAGCAGTAATAAATAGCCGAGGAAACCCAAAAACGTTATTTAACTGTTTCTTCTCACTCAGGGTGCCACAGTGACGTAAATCTTCTCAGGAACTGTGTGGAATGTATCTGCTCACTGGCCAGGGATGTTGGACGTGATTGTGTTGTGCACTCCCCTTCACTTGACAACTGTGACCTCAGGGAACTAGAATCTCTAGCCAAGTCGCTCCTCTTATGTTTTGAATCTGAAGAAAGACCTGCTTTGTTGAAGCCTTGGGAGACCAGTGATAAGCATTCCAGAGGAGGAAGAGGACACCCATCACCTAGCTCAAGCAGGGCTGCCTCCAGCAGGGTCAGGGGTGTACCGAAGCGTGTCTATGAGCTCCAGGGCTCAGCTTCAGCGGGTTCAGAGGAATGCACAGCGAGGGGCACTCAGTGGGTGTGAGGAGTGTGAGGGCTGATGCACAGGCGTGGGACAGTGACAGGGCACTGGGCCTTCTAAGTGAGAAATCAACACGTATATTGCAAAGAAGTCCACGTTTGTGGGGTCATCCGTGGGGTCTGAATAGTCTAAGCTTCATGGAATCCTAATTTCAGGGTGCCTGGACCTGCCCTCCGAAGTGTCTCAGCAGACAGTGTTTACCATAAATAGGGGTTGGAACGTTGTCATAATAGAATGAAATTTGGAGTTTAAAACCTACTGAAGGGTTATTTCTCTGGCTTCACCTTCCCTTTAATTTTAAATATTGATCTTTAACGTTGATATACTAGCCTGTTTATGAATAATTATTTTTCTCATGTGTAAAAAGCCTAAGCAGTCAGTTACCTTTGTTACCTGTACCTTCTCTCTGAGATTTAGGGGGACATTACCCACATAAATTTAAGGAGGTTTAACTTGTGTCATTAAATCCACAACTCTGTTGAAGGGTAAACTGCCATTTTGAGTAGTGTGCTCAAGGGAAGTTTCCTTTTTTTCCCCCCCAAGTATCATTACATACTTATTAGTAATATGACTTACCAGTGTGATAGTTAATCTGTGCCATCGTGGTGGACACTGTCTGACTATAATTTAAAGCTAGTTTAGTACTGCCAGCGCAGAGGCTGGAGTTTTGCTTGTTTTGTTAAAGGTGTAATGAAGAGTTTGTTCATGATTTGTTAAAGATTCAAGATCCTTCTGATGTTTCAGTTAAGAAGAAAACATGTGTCTACCATCAAGTGCTAATGCTGATACTCTTTGGGGGGATCTTACATTAAGAAATAGTTTGACATCTTTGACCGCAAGCTTATGTGTGATGTGAACAGACACTGAGTCATTCTGTTGGGGTGTGGGTGATAGCTGGCAGTTTCTAAGGAACGATTGTTTCCTTCTTAGCTGACCTGATCCTTTCCTTCGCCCTTTGCACTTGCAGGTACCAATAGCACATTGGCAAAACTAGGGAAAACTGGCTGTTAGTATCAGGAAACAATTTGGTGATTCCTTGTTGGGGGGGAGGTTGTAAATAAACACAGTGAGAACAATATTAATGAACCATGTACAGGTATTTAAGATGGTGCAATGCAGCAAATTTGCTTTCATTTTCCTTTTTAATGTTTGGCATTTGAGCTTGTTTTCTTTCTGAATACAAGTTCCCCGTGTGTGTATATATTTATCGGTAGTATTCAGCCATGCAGCACTTGATATCAAGTTTCCTGAGGTAGAGCTGTCACAGAAGGCCTTCTGGGGGGGAGCTCACTGATGGATGCCCTCATGGAACAGAGTAGGCGTTTTCATCTCTACAGTCTTTATTGAGTCGTTCTCCTTTCTCGTGACTGTGTTGGTCAGAAACCTTTTAATGTTGTAAAATTTTGTATATTTATATTTATACTCAAGTAAATTGTTAGATAGTATTTGAATGAATGCTATTAGAATCATGTGCACTAGTAAAATGTTATAAAGGGAACGCCTCTAATCTTTCCAGCCTCAGAATTATCTCTTGGTCTAAGGTTTTAAAATTTTACTGATTATCTTTTCTTGATTGCAGACTCAAAATTTCAAGGCTCTGCCTTGACAACTGCTATCCTGCTATCTAGTACTATATATCAAATAAATATTAATAACATGACATTTGCATAGGAGTTTTTTTTTTTTTTTTTTTTAACAATGGCCTGCCTCTCTTGAATTGGTGATGTTGGAATAGATTTGGTTCCACATGCAATAGTGACACATATTTGGAGTATGAATCCTGCCTCAGCTACTTAGTAACGGTAAGACCTGCCTCTCACCCCCACCTCTCCTACAAAGGGGTAATACCCTCCTGTGGCTGTCTGAACAGTAAGCGTCAGGTCTGCCCCTGGCATGTAGGAGACCCCCAGGGAGTTCCGGTGCCCGTCCCGTCTGCCTGCAGTACCTGGACACATGACCCTTGCATCATGCGTGTGGGTGACCCTTGGTGCCCGCAGTGCCATCTGAAACATTGCCAGTGTGCCACATGCTTTTGCCAGCATGTTAGCAGTGCATCTGTCATCTTCAGGTTCCCTGGTAATAGAACTAAATGGTATCTTCCTGCCCTAAAGCAGTATCGACACAGGGTGTTAGGGGTGTGGTGTTCAGGAGGTCCAGCTGAAATGTTTTTAATGTAATAGTTTATTTTTACATCATTTTGTGCCTTTTTCCATCTCGGTTGTACCCCCCGTGGGCTTCCCATCACCAATTCACCTGTGTACCATCACCATAGTCTAATGCACTCCCCCCCATTTTTGATCCCATTCCCCACTCCTCCCCCATAAAATGTCTCTGGTGTATAGTTGTTCATTATTATTTCCCCCCCACCCCCGGTACTTTATACTCCTGCTATGAGTAAAACCGTCGGTATTTTTCTTTTTCTTTCTGGCTTATTTCACTAAGCATGTTCCCTTCCCAGCTGAAATTTTTTAAACAAAATATTATTTAGTTAACTAACCCCCTTTGATTTGCCGAGCCCACGTGTCCATAAATAGCTAAGTTGGCACTTTTACCTAAAGATGGAAAGTAAGAATGCAAAATAATTTGGCTCACTTAAAGAGGTTGCTAAGTGGGGCTTCTGCTCACTTTTCAATTGTCTTGCTTTGCCGCAATCCCTCATCCCTCACCTCTGGTGGCTTCTTTCCAGATGAGCTATTTGCCAACGCTGGTTGCTTTTTTCACTGTATTTCAATTTCACTGTAATTCTGAGCTCAACTTTCAGGAATTGGAAGGGGCTCTGTGTTATTTTCCTCCAGATTTTAAGTCATCTCTGTTCTAGTTCACCTTTAGGCCTTCTAGGTGAGAAGCAGCTGAACCCCCACACACCCTCCCCGCGTGCAGCCCTCCTGGGGCACCTGGGCTCCAAGAAGCTCTCCTCACGGCCCTGCTTGCTGCAGGGAATACACTGCTTCTGAGAACATTAAGTTTAGCCACTTTGTTCCTTCCAGGAAACCTTCCCAGACACTTAGGGATCTCCAAAAATCCCTGCCCAGGGACAGAAAAGGGAGAAAGGCTTCATTCAGACTTCCTAGACTTCAGGTCATATTCCTTTCCTGCTCTCCTCTGTAGCCAAGACCCCTCTGCACCACATAGTCCAGGAGATACAAGTTGGTGTAGTGAACAATGAATTAAATTAAGCATAGAAAAAGAAAACAGTCTCAATCCTAGTCTAGGATAGAACTCTTTTCCATGATGTAATTCCTGACCTTCTTGAAAGGAATTGCTGATAAAATGCTTGAGCAATGTTCTGCTGGAACAAAAGGAGATTATGAGCTTCTGGGAAGCTAGGGTAACTCACTCAGCTGACTTACTCAGCCAGGGCTCTGTGACTAGAGTTTTGTATTTTTTTTTCAGACAAAAAGCAAATTTATTTTTAATTGAGGTAATATTAGAGATACAAAGATTTTTCTTTTAATTTTTTTAAAGATTTACTTATTTATGCACAAAGAACTGGGGTACAGGCCAGAGGTGCAGGGGCAGTGAGAGGATTCTGCAGAGACAGTGGGGAGCAGAACAAGCAGGTTGATGAAGTGCACTGCTGACTGCTATGTGGGTCACCTCCCTAGCTGAGGATCGAATTTGTGCTGAAGCAGCTGTGGGCTAGCTTCTTAGTGCTGCACTTTAACCCGTGTGCCACCAGGGAGGGCCCCCTCACTCTTGCTCTTACTTTTTTTTTTTTTTTCCAAATCTCATGATTCCTTAACCATTCTTTCTCTCCCATAAACTGATTCCACCAGGAAGAACTCTGAGTTACTTGCTCAAGGACATGGCTTCTGACCCAAGGCTGAGTTCCTGTCCCCACCCCCGCTGCCCAACTCTGGGCAAGTAACAATCTCCTGTGCCTGTTTCCTCACTAATCCAGAGGTTCGGCACTTCCTCACAGGGTTGATGGGAGGTTCTTGGAATTGTTAGGCCTTGTGAATGGCCCAGAGGCTTCAATAAAATGAGCAGTTAGGGCCCTCCCTGGTGGCGCAACGGGTTAAAGCACAGCACTGAGAATCTAAAGCCGCTTCCGCATGAGTTCGATTCCCGCCTGCCCTGGAGGTGACCACATGGCGTGGCAGACCTCTCCTGACCCGCCCGCTGCTCCCCTCAGCAGTGTACTTCGTCTGTCTGCCTGTTCTGTTCCCCACTCTGTCTCTGGTGAAGCCTCTCGCCACCCCTGAGCCTCTGGCCTGTACCCCAGTTCTGTATGCACAAGTAAATAAATCTTTTAAAAAAAAAAAAAAGAACAGTTATTATAATATCAATATTATGAGTGTACTCATATTCACTATCCAATTGCCCCCAGCCCCCCCACCCCATAGACACACCCCACCCCAAGACTGGGAACTGGGATGGTTGGTGTTTCCTCTGCTGGCATTGAGCTTGAACCCTTAAACTTGCAAAGCAGGTGGCCTCACGCCCCAACTTTCCCCTAAAGAGGTGCTTCTGGATTTCATTCCCATAATTCTGTTCATCTTGCTTTCTTTCCTGACAGGCTAAGTCCCCATCTCTGAAAAAGCCATCAGGGCTGTTTCCAACTTCTCCTGGTGACCTATCCACCTGGAATGTCCAGTGGGCAGTAAATAATTTCCAGGGATTTAGGATTCTCCTTGATCTCTCTGCAGCATTAAACACTTTCTTTATTCAATTAACTTAATTAAATGCTTAGCCATCCCCCAACTCCTCCCTGGTTCCATTCCCTGAACACTCTTCTGGTCCCTTTGAAACTGGAGACCCCTATCCCCCCTCAGGGCTCCAGTTCTTGGTCCCAGAGCACTGCTTGCAGGCTGCAGGCATTTTACTGCCTGCCTCCAGTGGCCCCAATGGGGCTCTGACTGCTAGCAGAGGCCAGTGGTGACAGTGGATGGCAGTGGTTCTCCTGCCATGTCACTCCAGGGCAAGCAGCTTCCGAGGCCCCCAGGAGCTGGCTCCAGCTCTGAGGCTCCTCCAGCTGCAGGCCGGTGGATTTGGTGCCTGGAGCATAGCTGGACTGAGCAGGTGTGAGCTTTGAGCTGGTTGGTAACTGGTCCAATCAGACTGGTAGGTGAGGCCCCTCCCGACCCCTGTTCATCACTATCACAGGGAGGAGAGCAGCCAGCTTGGGCTTCCTGTACCGCTGTGCTCCTGGACTCTCGGATTGGCCCAGATGCTCTCTGTGCTTGAGATGGGCACTGTTCCTGACCTGCCAGGGGAGGAGGACGAGGCGTCCAGCAGCTGACCTCTGAAGAGAGAAACTGAAAAGTTTTGCAGAGAAACCAAGGAGCTTCTCAAAGACCAGGGGCCGCTGCCTGCCTCTAACACACCTGAAAGCACCAGGGCTCGGGCCTGCTGTCTCACAGCACTGACTGCCTGTTGGTGTGGGGCAGCAACTCCCAAAGCGCTGTGACCCGCCAGCTGCCCAGCACTGTTGACGGGTGACCACCCCTCTGTGTCCGGGTCACCTTCTGAGAGCACCTCCCGGTGCCGCTGTCTCTGCGGCTGTCTGGTGCAGCCGGGGCTGTCCATCCGACCTCCGGGCTGGGCCTGTGGCTGCTGCACTCCTATCAGCAGCCCCACCAGTGAGCGCCTCCAGCTGCGGTGAGTTGGCTCCCGGGCCCGCTGCTCTCCACACCACACGTGCCCGGCCCTAGTTAGCAAGATGGCAACATTGTGGGCGAATGGCCTTTGGTTTAGGACTCTGGACACTACACACTGCTCACCTGGGGCGTTCGAGACTCCTGCTCCCTTGTTTGTTCAATAAACCCCGGTGTGGGTCCCCTGAGCCCACATGGTCTCGCAGTTGTGCTGGTGAGAACCTGGTGACAGTGTCCTGTCCCCACTGGCCTGTCATTTTGACCTGCTATCACCTTCCCATTCCTGCCTTGTCCCTGCTCTGTCACTCTTTGTCTTACACCTTCCGTGCCTCAGAACCTGTCCCCTCTCCTTTCTCAACACGCTCCCTCAGTCTCTCAAGCCCTTTCTGTGTGGGGTTCCCTTCTCTGTCTGCCAGGCTCCCCGTTCAGGGCTCATCACCACCTGCCTCCTCAGCACCTGTTTCCCTCCACAAACGCCTTCCCCTCCCGACCTCTGTTCATCACGGTCTCAGTTTCAGCATCTTGGCTGTCTCCCATCATCCCGCCGGACAGCAGTCCTTTTAGTCTTCCTCCAGAGCTGCTCACACCTGCCCCTTTTTTCCATCCCTCTGTTAAACTCTAGGTCTCTGTTCCTTTGTGCTTGAGCTTGCTAGTGAGTGAACGTGCCCCCCAAGACCCTCCTGTTCTGTTCTACCCTCCCCACCAGTTCCAGAAGCATCTACTTCAATCTCTGAAATTAGTTCCTCATCTCCTTTTACTCAAAAGCTTTCAATGTTCGCTTCTGTTCCAAGACCGATACCCATAATACAGGGCTCCCCCAACCATGACCTCCCCAGGGTCCCCCAAATTACCCTGTACATCCCAGCCTCCGAGTGTTGACTGACATGAGAAATGCCATCTCTCTCCTTCTTCACCTCCTTTATGAAAACTTCTCACTCACATATTGATTGAGACATTCAGACTACAATGGCAAAG